TCATGCCAGCCACATGACCACGGAAATGTCTTGAGGGTTAATCTCACATTTTTAAAGATTTCAGATATAGATATATTAAGGCTTTATCCACACAGTGAGGATTCCCCATTTCACTGTCATTGCTACCACAAATGCAGAGGCATTACCACTTGGAACACAGAACTCACATGGGAGTTTTGCGCACACAGTTCTTTCAGTCAGTTGCCATTTTTCCTGTACTCCCCCCGCCTAAAAAAAAACCCAAACAAACCCAGACACAAAGTGTACCATCCAAGGACTTTTTCTGACCTTTTGTTTGTTAGTTTGTTAAATCAAGGCTGAGGCAAGGAAAATGCTGCAAATGTGGGCAGGATCTTTAAGATTGTGCACTTACCTGTCCCTATAGTGTGCAAGTGTGCTGACTGTGATCTTGCCATAAAATGTATATCAAACTATTTTTGGGAACGATGGAACCAGAGTGGGAAAACTGAGAACATGGATGATTAGGGGATGACGTTGTGTGACTGTGCCAAAAAAAGACTCCAGTTTGGATAGGAAAGGCCTCCATGTGCAATAAACCTATGACTTCAAATGCATTGTGGGAAGGGCAGGGTATAAATGTGATTAATAAATAAATAAATAAAAATAAGATCAGTCCTGATGTCTATGTAAGAAGAAAGCTAAAATGTCAAATGAATATTGTAGTAACTGAAAGAGTCTCTCACTAGGGGGCAGCAACATTTCAGATAGGTCTGTTTCCATTTTCACCTATGCTTGGCAACTTCTTATCAGGTCATCTCCATGTGTATCATGTAGCTGTCTCTACTCAAACATCTATGACATTTTTTTCTTATTTTGATTGTTGCTTCGTACCTTATACATAGTTTACAAATATCCATTTGAAGTCGAGAAGGGGAAAAGTGTGTTTGTTATTGTCAGTCTGTCATATCAGTGCCTTGCCCTACCTGCATGAGAGTCCCAAACTCTTTAGACTTTCCTCATAGGAAAGGTGCTCCAAGTCCTTAATTGCTTTGGTTGTCCTCTTCTGTACTTTTTCTAGCTCTGCAATATCTTTTTGAAATATGGCGACTAGAACTATACGCAGCATTCCAAATCAAGTCACACCAAGGGCAGTACAACATTGGCTGTTTTATTTTCAACCACCGCCCAACGATCCAAAACATGGTCTTTGCCTTTTCTGGTTACTGCTGCACACTGAGTAGATATTTTCATTGAGCAACCCACTATTATCCCAAGATCTCTTTTAGCCTCAGTTCCAGCCATTTCAGACCCATCAGCATATATTAATAGTTAGAATTTCTCGTTCCAGCATGCATCAGATTCTCCTGTAACTATTCACGATCTGACTTGGTTTTTACCATCACAAATAATCTGGTATCATCTGCAAACATGGCCGCTTATAATGTTTACCCCCAATTCTAAATCATTTATGAACAAATTAAATAGTACTGGTCCCAATACCAATTCTTGAGGGATCCCATAATTCATTTCCCTCCACTGTGAGAACTGTCCATTGATTCCTATTCTTTGCTTCTTATCATTTAACAAAAAATTTAATCCATAAGAGAACCCATCCTTTTATCCTATAACTGCTAATTTTACTGAGGAGTAGGGATGGGCACAAACTGGCTCAAGAGCCAAAATTTGGCACAAATTTGGGCTGGATTGGAGTTCGGGAACTGCAAGCCGCGACTGGGAGAAAGGGGGAACTGGTCAGACCAGTTTGGTTCGGGCCATTTTGGTTTAGTTCTGGGTTCGTTTTGTCATCCACCCTGAACTGAACCGCCCTTTTTAGGTTTGGGCTCATCCCTACTAAGGAGTTTGTGGTGAGATACCTTCTCAAAAGCCTTTTGAAAGTCCATGTATATAATCTCTCAGATCACCATTATCCATATGCTCACAGAACGTCAAATGTTGGTAGGGCAGAACTTCCATTTGCAGAAGCCATGCTGATTTTCCCTCAACAAACTTTGTTCTTCAAAGTGCTTAATAAATCTATCCTTAATAACAGTTTCTATTAACTTATCTGGAACAGATGCTAGGCTAACTGGCTTGTAATTTCCTGGATTCCCTCTAGACCCTGTTTTAAAAATTGGTGTGACATTTGTTACTATCCGGTCTTCTGGCATAGGGGCTAATTTAGCAACACATTGCACATACTGGTTAGTAGATCAACAACTCATGAAAGTGAGTGTAAAATGAAAAGGCAAAGAAAAGATGGACCAGACAACATACAAGTAAAGGAAATTAATAAATGGTTCAGTATTGGACAGAACAAATACATTGTTCCATACCTTTTCATGCAGTTGTACCACAAGTTCTGACTTGCATTTTGAATATCTTACCAAAATGCCATGTTTTCAGTAAATATAATTCTACAGAATATCTCTTAGGAAAACACCACGTGTTCGGCATTCATTATGAGGTGCCTTATTTCTTTATGACATTCATAAAGCTATAGCGCTCCACCAGCCATCAACCCTGTACTCAATGATCCTTGAAATTACATTTGGTCTCTTTCACCCTTGCTATGGAAGGTGGGGAGAAAAGAGGGTGGGAGGCAACAGGCTTATATATCATATGAAAACACTAAAGCTGGTCACTAGAAGTTATTTTTCTCCTTCTTTCTTTTAAGCTATCACCATAAGGACAAATTTTACCCAATACCAGCAACACTGCCAGCATGTACACACCAATAACCGTTTGTATGATCCAATGCTATTGATTGTAAGAGGAAAATGGACTATTAGCATTACATTCTGTGAATAGGCACCCTTTCCTCCCACTTTCTGGTTCTGTCATGCAAAAGCTCATTCCTCCTTCAGTCAATAGCAGCAGTACATGCAAAAAACTATTGGTGTACATGTGTACTCTCCACCTTCAATGGGTTCCAGCTGACACTCTCTAATTGGGTTAGAGCCAACATTACTACTGGAGAAGCAAGCCATTACAGCTGAAAAAAAGTGTTCTGTCAGCTTCACCTAGCTTGGCTGTTGGCCCCTACCTTGAGGCTAGGCTACTGTAATTACATGGATCTTCCCTTGAATTCTACTAAGAAACTCCAAGTAGTACAAAGTGTGGCGTCTCAATTACTAGTGGGTACCAGGCAGAACATGCATGTCATACCCCTCCTGCACTCACTCACTCTATTAGCTACTGATCAGTTACTAGGCTCAATTTAAGGTACCAGTTACCACTTATGACGCACTTCATGGCCTAGTTTGGTGTAGTGGTTAAGAGCAGCAGACTTTAATCTGGAGAACGGAGTTTGATTCCCCACTTCTCCACATGCAGCTAGCTGGGTGACTGGGTCAGTCACAGTTCTCTCAGAGCTGTTCTCTCAAGAGCAGTTCTCGAAAGAACTCTTTCAGCCCCACCTACCTCACAGGGTGTCTGTTGTAGGGAGAGGAAGGGAAGGAGATTGCAAACTGCTCTGAGACTCCAAGTGAAGGGTGGGGTATAAATCCAACTCTTCTTCTTCTTCTTTCTTCTTCTAGTACCCACGTCTGTGGGGCCACCTTTCCTACCGTGCTGCACCACTTCAGTCGTCTGAATACAATCTTTTAAAGATTCCTCCACACAAGCTGGTAAGATTGGCAACCACCCGCTCAGGAATATTATTTGTGGTAGTTACTGCCTTGTAGAATGGCCTGCCTGAAGATGTTAGGAAGGTTCTTACAGTACTATCATTCTACAAAATGGGCAAAACAGAAATGTTCAGGAGAGCATTCTCATATTGGAATCGATCTGTAGTGGGACATAATGGTCCAGAATGATCCAGAAGGTCCCCTGCATTGCTTGTTCCTTTTTAATCCCACACTCTGCACTGCTTGCACTATGGCTGTTCACACTGCCTTTTAGCTTTGTATTCCTACTCCTACTACTTTGTTCAATTGCACTGCTCATTTTGTACCTTATACCGTGTGGTCACATTTGATGCTTGCTTTGTTCAGTTTTGTACTCCCAGTCCTATTGCATTATCCATCCAATGTGGTATACTGTATGATTATTTCTCTCTCTTTACTCTGCCTTGAGTCTCACTGAGAAAGGCATAATACAAGAAAACTAAATAAATAAACAAATGTGCCCAGAGTGCAACCATACAAACATTCTGTTGGAACTTTACAAGGGTGAACAACCTGGATTATGTCCAGCTTGGCAGGTGAAACCTTAACAGGAGACTCAGGAACCATTGCTGGCTTAAGAGGACATATCAGATCTCATGAGATTCACCAACATAATTCAAATTTTAATGTATCAGAGGAAAAAAAAAAGCAGAAGCAAGCTCTGGCTAGTTTGTTCACACTGTCGCAAAGCAAATGACACACTAAAACTGGGGACAAACAGCAACTGAAATTACTAGTCTCGGCCCGGGGCAAGTATTATGCCCATCCCAAATCTTGTGATGAACCTGAGGCTGGAACCAAGCTGCTCCTCTGACTTTCTCCCAAAGCAGAGTTTACTGGGTCAGGGGAAGGGGGGAGATTTCCTGGTTATTCAAGACACTCTTTTCCTGACATCCCAGTATTTGTGCAGCTCCAGCTGTTCTTTTCCTCCACGTGCAAGGAACATTAAAATGTGCATGTCAAATATACACTTGTCCAGTCCAAGTTCACTTCAAATTTTATGTGTAGAGCATTTTGCGTCTTCTCCTTGTTTATGGAAATCTATGGAAACTCTCTAAGCAAGATACAAGACCAGAAGACCATCTGAACTCTGCAGGATACAGGAACACATGCAAAAGTTTAGGCATACTATAAAGTAATGTCCTAGTGGTTTCTGTGGAGTTTCATTAGTCTAGAAATGTTTTATAGGAGGGTCCTATGGGCCTGATCCAGCAAAAGTTAAGAACATTTAAGTTGTTTTGATTTAAATGGGAGAGTTAAGCAACTACTTAAAAATGCTTGACTGTCTAAGTTATGCTCTGTACTTGCAACACTTCTACAATATCAGCTTCTGCGAACTGTATAGGAGTCAGAACAATGTTTCAGTTCACTTACCTTTTTCACTGCTATTTGATGAAAGGGATGGTGAGCTTGTGGGTTTGGATTTGTCATAGTTGTTAAAGCTCTGGCTGCGCCGGTTGTTGGCACTAACTGAACCACGAGTTTTTGCCTCGCTGCCTGCAGCTGAAACCCTCGTGGTCGGACCTGGAAGTCTGTTTTGAGGTAAAAACAAATTAGCAAACAAGTTGCTCCCAAAAGCCCCTATATACGATCAGAATGAACTTAAGTTCATGCCAAATCAGGCAAGGAGGGCTCAGCAAGACCTAAATATTTCAAAAATGGAATGTCAGCTCGAATATTTCACAAAGAACAACTGATCCAGTCTAGATTTCAAAGTGTGCTCTGATCGTCACATGGATACTCCTGTACAAGGGCTTCCTACTTCATTTAAATGTAGGAAACAGCTCTATTCAAGCAAATGATTTGTACATGCAGTCTCACTCTCCACAGTGAACATTAGCCTTTTCAAGCCCTTCAGCACTGGCTATTTCACATCTTTGGGGAATCATTTAATCAGGGCACATATTAACAAATTCCTGATCATGGGAACTGGAATGTCACAACATCAGAAATATTTCAAAATATAATTTTGAAAAAAATAGCTCTGAGACTTTTTTGTTCAATGGATTCTACTACTTAAGAACAATCCCAAGAGATGTTACTCTTGAAAGGATAAGGTCCTAGGTTGGGGTTGCCAGATCTGAAAGTAGACAGTTTCATTAAGAACTCTCACCCAGCAAGATGCCAATCAGAAATGGCATCTCAAAACTGAGTGTTTCTCTAATACTTTCCTGCCAAGTGTAGCAAACATTCTTTTACAACAGGTAGGAGAAATATAGTTTATTAGTGGAGCCCCACAACAGAAAAATGGGGCAACATCTGAGTCTATAAATGTGTGCTGTAGCACAGCTCACAGTTGCAAAAAACCCCAAAAACATTAGTTTGAGTGATTTAATATGCTGGATTGCAACCCAGGACTATAAATCCACAGGATCAAATTCTCATGACACTCACGGGCAATTATAGGCATGAAACATACACATGTGTTCTGAATCCACTAAGACTGAGAGCAGAGGCGATGCCCACTGCCAGTTTTTGGCTGTTATTTATCATTCCACAATCCCATCCTCTGGAATCATCATGCAGAGCTTCAAATTGTGGCATTAATGGCCACTTGTAATCACTTTAGTCAATAATCATATTTATTAATCAAAATACCCAGACTGCAATGGAACCAGCAATGGGAAGAGCTGTTCTATACCAAATGTTGCTGGGGTTTTGCAATACAATTCTACGGTTTAAAAATCCACGTTACTCACACAGAATCTACATAGAATTTCTTCTGCATCAGCATATCATACAATTCTTGTTCAACCCTCAATGGCTTGTGCCGAAATCCCCAAGGGCTGCTGGTACTTAATGTAAAAAAAAAAAAAAACCACCACTGGTGATATGATTTATGTCTGTATTCTCAGGAATGGAATATTACTGTATAGTATTTGCTTCTTTAACTGTTTTCCGTGGAGAAATCACTGGGCATGAGGTAAACTGCAGAAGCAATAGGTTAAAACAACAGTAGTATTTATTCGTGTATAGCTTCCTGTTGGCAAAATTCCCATCTGGTTAGGGGCATTACAAACCTTTTTCACTCCAAAGGCAACTTCAGAGCTGAGAAGAAGAAAGGCAACAATGCTTTCTTTCAGCAAACTCAGATTAAACAAGGTGAAGAAAGGGAAGATGAGGAAAAGCATGTCAGCATTAGCAGATACATGCACATGCTTTCAAAGCTCAATTCAACATACTTATTTCCCAGTTAACAATGACTGCTGTGTCTCTAAAGCAGAATTAAACGAGGTCTGTCTGTCCAAAGCTGAACCTTTTTACTTCTCCAATGGGGAAAAAAGAGATAATCATAAAAGCAGACAATACTAGAAAGCTGCATACAATAGTCATCATAAACACACACACACCACAGAGGGCTGGATTAAAGTATGCCCTTCTACTCACAGAAGGAGCCCATGAAAGACAAGCACCTTCCATGAACTGGGAAAGTCCTTCCATGAATGGAAAGGAACACAAACTCATGACCTGGATCCACTCCATAGCTCTGGATAGAGAAGCAGCCTAAAGAAAGGCTACCAGGAAAGGGTTAGGAAGAATCAAGGAGGAAGGGTATGGAAAATTCTTTTCATGCTTTTTATAAGAGACCTGACATAGACATGGCAAGAATCTTCATGCAACATGCTGGTTGAAAGGTAAAGAGAAACACCTGCAACAGCTAAGGTGTGGACAGGCTGAATATAACTGCATTACGGAGACAAAGTACATTTCTGCTAGCCTATACATCCATCCTTTCTGGGTTTCCTATTTCTATTTCTGGTGAGGAGGATGAAACGAAGCTGTCTAAATTGTCCTTTCAAACCCAGGCATATAAACCTTTGATCGTTGCAAGCAGATGGATAATAAATTAAGTAGGAATTACAAAATTCCTGAATTTTGTTCCAGGAAGAAGAAAAAAGTTACTAGGTGAATACAATATTTAAAAAAAATGAAAATGGTGAGAATTCTTATATATGGATATGATAAACCTACATTTAAAAAATGAAATATTGGTTTCAGTATGAAATTTTAGTTATTTAGTATGTCACCATTTAATGTTTCACATGAGGAAAAATCTTGTTCTATCATAGTGATAGTCATAACTAATATTTTTATAATTCCAACCAAAACTGGAGGATATTGAGTTGGATTCCCTCCTTCTAGAAACATAACAGGTCCATCAATCTGATTTTAGGGCCATCCCCTTCTCATAGAATTGCTTTGTATTCCCCTCACCATGCTAGAGAGCCCCTCAAGAGCAAATCTGGGATGTAGTATGGAGGATGCAGCAACAATGGAGAATCAGGAGAAGCTGTCTTTCCCTTTTCTTGTATGAGCAGAGAAAACTTTGCAAGGCCCCTGCCACACGGCAGGGAAAAGCCTCTTTAAAGCGCGGCTTTTAAAAGCCGCGCCAACGTTGACACGGCGCGGCGGGATCACACAGATCCCCCGGCCGCGCCGCCTTTTCTCCCCGGCGCGATCAAACGCCGGGGAGAAAACACGTCCCGAACGGGAGCCGGCTGAACTGCGCATGCCCGCGCATGCGCAGTTCCGCTCCAGGCCGGGGTTGAGCCGGCGCAAGGGAGCGCCGGCGATCAAACGCCCGGCCTGAAGCGCGCCAAGGAGTTGAACCACCGAGGTAGGTGGTGTCAACTTGAGGCGCGTTTTCTCAGAAAGGGCCAGTTTGGGGGCGGAAGCAGAACGCTTCCCAGATGTTGTGGTGTGATCGCGCTGCTTTGATCCGCCCCCAAACTGGCCCGCAACTGGCCCAAATCGCTGCGTATGAACGGGGCCCAAGTAGATCAAAAACTCAAAGAGAGCAGGGAGGAGCAACCTCTGTCCCTCCCCCCACATGGCACACTGCTCCAAAGGGTTCCCTGGCCTTCAAAAGTGGCTGGGGGGAGGGATACATGGAGCTGCTGTAACAGAAGGAAGAATCTCTCTTGTGAAGCTGTTTCAACAGTGTAAGGACTGGATCCAACCAATCAGAGGTGAGGCTTCAGAAAGTAGACAGCAGCTTGTGGAGCACACAAATACAGCATATGCACAGAGAGAGTTAATCATGGGTATTTAGTGGGGGAGTGTGTGGGGGAGCAAGAGATGACCACAGAAGCAAATCTTCTTTAAATAAGAGACAAATAAAGCTGCTATGTGAGTCCAGAGTTGGGCAAGGATGTTTGAGTATGCCACACTAACTTTCTAAGGATAGAAGTGGATTCTACAGAGCTTCAGGTAAGAACCCGCTCATACTCTTAATACCCTTAAACAACCAAAGCAGCTATGAAGTTAGAATGCCAGCGGGGGGGGGGAGGGGGCTCCCAATGTTTTGCAAAATGTGTCATATGGACAATTATCTGCCCACAGGACAGCAATTGTGTTTGTTGTGTGGACCTCTTGGCTCTCAGGAAACAAGCTAATTCCCTTAAGGATATGGTTGCCAACCTGGAGATACTAAGAGAGACACAGAGGCATATGGACTGTTAGAATCATCCTGCTCCTATACTGCAGTGGAGATTAAGAGTCTTGAGCTTCAAGGGTGTCAAGTTGAGATTTGAAAGTCGAGGAAGGAAGAAATAATCTGTTAGAACAGAATTATCATCCTCTTGTACTAAAGATACTCTTCAGAGGGGTTTTTTGGGGGGGAGGTAGGCTTTTGGTAGTGGGAGTTTGATTATTAGGAATCATAGAGTGGATGGTTTGTGACAGGTGTTTGACCACATGGTAACCTGTGTGTCTAGGCAGCTTGATAGCTAGTACAGGGGAGGAGTCAGCAGTCATGGTGCATGTTGGCACCGATGACATTGAAAAGTGCAGTTGTGTGGTAATGGAGAATAAATTTAGGCTACTAGGCAGGAGGCTAAAGGCCAGGACCTCCAATGAAGCATTCTCAGGGCCTGCTAGACAGGCACAGATTAGTGGTTTAAATGCATGGATGAGAAAGTAGTGCTGAGAGCAAGGGTTTAGATTTGTTAGACACTGGGGGACTTCCTGGGACAAGCTGAACCTATACAAAAGAGATGGGCTTCACCTGAACCAAAAGGAAACCAAAAGGAAACCAGGCTGCTTGCATTTAATATCAAAAAGCTAGCAGAACAGGTTTTAAACTTCTGGGGGAAAGCTGACAGGAGCTAGAAAGCCTCTATTTCAGAATGGCTTATCCCTAAGGGTTACTTAAAAATGGAGGTGTGCTACTGTCCCCCTGAACAAAACCAGGAGGCAGAAATCAAGATGGAGAGGGAAGTAAGAATGGTGATTAAAGGGGAGAATGTTGTAATACTGGCTGACTTCAACTACCATTGATTGTACATGCATATGCTTGCGTCATGGCATAGAAACAAGCTTTCTATACATCATAAATGACTATAAACTAGAGCAGTTGGTCAGAGAGACAACTAGAGGTGTAGGGACTCTGGACCTGGTTCTGAGCAGAGCTTGAGACCTCATGCAAAATGTAAACGTTGTTGCACCAATGGGGAACAGTGACCATAATGCTATTAAGTTCAGCATTCATGTCAACAAAACTGTTGGGAAATAGGTTCAGAATAAATAAACTGTGAAATTCACTGCTAGGGGAGGTAGCAATGACCAGAAGCATAGCCACAGTTAAAGGGGATTAGTCAGGTCCATGGTTCATCAAGGACAACTACAGCCTCTATGCCTGGTTGGCCACTGTGTGAAACAGGATGCTAGACTAGATGGACCACTGGTCTGATCAGCAGACTCTTAACCAAATGAAGACTTACAGTTCTTTTTTCTTGATTTTGAACATGTTTTTGAACATTCTTAGCTATCTAGTTGTTCTTTTGAAGGTACTGGTGGCAAAAATAGGAGCTGCAGGTCATCTCTAAAATTATGATCAGGATTTGAGCACAAAAAAACAGAAAGCAACTTCCCAAAGAAAGTGAACTATCTGCCAAGGAGTCCTATTGGGTAAACCCCAACAAAAAAGAATGCAAACAGCACAAGCTCCTGTGTGGCTCTCTTTCCTTTCAACGAGGTTTTTGCAGGAATCTGCTCAAACCGATCAGGAGTTAAGAATGAGCTGGCCTTGTACAATTCTCAGTAACTAGACCCCATATTTTTCCCCCTTTTGCAGGAGAAACTTTGATTGTATAATTGGCCCCTAGAGAAAGGACTCTCCTATGCCACTGACTACCCCTTCCCCATGGCTGCATGTCAGTTGTTCATCAGGAGAGCATTCAAGCATATCCCATACCTACTCTAATTCATCTCTAAAAGAGAGCATAAATGTGTTGATTTGCAGGGGTGAACAGGCATAGGCAAGCAGACATGGATCTATAAAGGACTGCAATAAATGAGGCAAGATTGAGAAAGCGGCTGATAAGAGGACCTCTAAATCATGATGTCTTATCATTTCCAGGATGAAAAAAAGAGGAAAGACTATAATGTCTGGAGCAGCAATGTCCAAATAAGAAAATATACTACAGTTTCTGAATAAAAAGGGCAAACATTAACACCTTACATAATACAGTGCTTATAAGGCATTCCTAACCAAGCAAATATGACAGCATGGTAAGAGTAACATTCATCACAAGTAAATCTGATTAATAGCACAGGTATTAATAAGGATTAGAGTAGCATTTTGAAGTGCTGCAATGAGAAGCTCATAGGGGTCAGAACTCATGTCAGGCTTTGACTCAGAAGGGAATAAATGGATTGGAACACCCATTATTCATCCTCTTGGAGATTAGATGTTCCCCATTACCAGACACTGTGGGATCCAGAATAAAGATGACACGTATATCTATGCTGCTGTATTCTCTCATCTTACACAGTCCAAGTATTGTCACTCTTTATTATCCTAAGGGAAATGAGTTGTACTTTAGAGGTATCACTGATAAAGAATAATAAAGAAAAACGAGGAAGGAAGTTAAGATGGGGGGGAAGGACAGAAAGATTCCCAAACTATCTAGCTTTCATTTCTTTGTCTGTTTGTTTACTTTTTAGGTACACTGTCACATTATGTTTAGTTACTCCTGCAAATTATTCCAGTCTTCTTTCAAACCACCTCTCCCACCTCCCAACAAATTAGTAATAAAATTAGACTGTATAAGCCCTTTGAGGACTGGGGGATACTGATGCTATTCTTGGAAACTGCACTGTGCACTTGGGGATAGGCTTAGGTATCAATATACTACATAAAATAAATGAACATAATAATAATAATAATAATAATAATAATAATAATAATAATAATAATAATAATAATAATAATAATAATAATAATGACTAGTTCTCCCCACTTTGGTTTTTCTAAAATATTTGGTTTGAAAATGACAAGTGCACACCAGTAAGGTGAACCCTAAGCCATGCAAACCGGGGTTTCTTGCAAGGAGGGTTATCCATGCTTGGAGGAAGAAGTGCTAACCTAGAAGTCTTTTTCTGACCGAGAGTGAATCGGATGATTTTGCTTTGAGATGAGTCCCTGGGTGATGCACTGTACAAGAAGAAAGAAAAAAAGTGGAAGATGTGAGTGAGCAAGGAAGAATCATTCACACACAGAGATGAAAGTTTTTGAAAAGGGATTTATCCTGATACTACAGAAGAGAAAAAGAATTCCAACTTGCCCCAACAACCACATTTCAGATATGCAACTTTTAAAGAATTTTTCATCATCTCAGTCACAGCAATGACTCAGTAAATAAACTTCTGGTTCACTTTGCAAGCAAGAGCTATCTTACTGCACAGTTTAATGCCCATAAAGAACTCAGTATGTCAAAGCATGCTTATTCTTAGCCTGATTCTCATGCACATTTCTGAAGCGGTAAAACTTCCACAGGATGGTACGATCTGTAATTACCATGCCAGTGACTACATCAGTTTTCAGTGATTTAAGTGATATAGTTTTCAATTACTCTTTCAGTTGACTTGTTTTCCTTGGGTTAAATACCAGATCTTACCACATGAGGGTGTACAATAATGAAAGCTTTGGCAAGCAAGAGTGATAGCATATGGGGAAGAAAAGCAATGAAGAGTCAGGTTTTAAATGGTAAATTTATATTTCAGTAAATACGATTCACACATTTGAAACGTATACATAAAAAGTTTAATTAATAGTTGTCACTTAGATTTCAGTTCTGAGACAGAAGAAGTAGGATCTAACCCTGTCAAAATACATTTGTACAATAATTTGTAGCCAATAACTATTTTTAAAACATGGTTATGCTTATATTTTAAAAAAACAAACAGTTGTTGGTTCATCTTCAATATTGAACATATTTTCAAAACACAATTTATGAACTTGGAAATTTATGGATTTATGGAGATGTATGAATTTATAAGGTATTAAAAGTATTCTACTGATGGTCAGTTAAAATATGCATGCCTCAGACTGGGATCTGGGAGACCCAGGTTCAAATCTCGGCTCTCCTATGGAAGTTCACTGGGTGACCTTGGGCCAGTCACACACTCTCAGCTTAGCCTATCTCTCAGGGTTGTTGTGAGGATACAATGGAGGAGGAGAATGTTGTATACAACTCAGGTCTCCACTGGGGAGAAAAGGGGAGTATAAATGAAGTAAATAAAATCTCTGAGAAAGATCATTTATACAGCTGTACCAAAATGTATATAAACTGTATCCTATGTAGAAAAATGAAAACAAAATTCTATGTTTGTTTAAAACATGTGTATGCCACCTTTCCACCCAGCTTAGGGTCTCCAAGGTGGTGAACAATCAAAACATCAAAACATTATATAAACAGTTAAACAAAACACATATATACACAGACACACAAGCAGGGAGAAAGGCCAAGAGAGTTAGTCAAAGAATACCAAACAAAACAAGAAATCTTCACTCATTGGTGAAAGAGAACGATAGAGGGAGACAGATGAATCTCCCTGAGGAGGGAGTTTCAGAATTTTGGCACCATGACCATGAAGGCCACTGATTCAGTTGGTTGGGGAACCCGAAGCAGGGTCTCTGAAGATGACTGGAGTGGTCAGGCAGAGTCATATGGAAGTAGGCAGTCCTTATGGTACACTAGCCCAAGCTGCATAGGGCTTTAAAGCACTTTGAATTGGGCCTGGAAGCAAATTGGGAGCCAGTGTAGGTGGAACAAGACTGGAGTGATAGGGTCATTATGATCCACTCCAGTCAGTGTTCTGGCCACAGCATTCTGTACCAACTGTAGCTTCCAGATACTCTTGTTTTAGTCAATAGTAATTCCAAGGGTTAAAGCTATTTTAGAGTTTACAGGACGCACACAAGAGTTGGTATAGAGTGTTTCATATCTATATTCAAATTTAGGGTTGTTTGTTATTAATAGTTGCACATTTGGGTGGAAAGAGCACAGAATGCTAAAGATGTATTTTACTGCATGTATTGGTCACTTGTAATTTGCTGTTGTCATTTTTGTGTTCTATTCTGTCCATGTTTATACTTGAGAAAATGATATAAATAAAGATATTTTTTTAAAAATTTAAAAATGAAAAAAAGAGATGCCCCCTTGACTCTGAATATCCTTTGACTATAGAGCCAGTTTGGTATAGTGGTTAAGAGCGGCAGACTCTAGTTTGGGAGAACCGGGTTTGATTCCCCACTCCTCCACCTGAAGCCAGCTGGGTGACCTCGAACCCAAGGTCACCGCTCTCTTAGCCCTCTCTCAGCCCCACCTACCTCACAGGGAGTCTGTTGTGGGGACAGGAAGGGAAGGGATTGTAAGCCACTCTGAAACTCCTTTGGGTAGTGAAGGGCAGGGTATAAAAACCAACTCTTCTTCTTCTGTTTAGTTTTGCGGGGCTCTTTTTAATTTGTTCAAATAATTATACCACACACTTAAAATTATATGTCTCACAACTCACTATATTCAGCCAAAAGAGAGATGTGATGAATGTCGCACTTTCACCAGTTCAAACAGTAATTGATCCATCAACTGCAAGCAGCATCTGTGAACGTTCCCCCTTACTATTTCCCATGTATTCTAAATTTGTTCACATGATTTTGGCACATAATCATTTTAGCAATAACACTGGGGAATTGTAGTGAAGGGCCCTGGTATACAAGGTGGCATGTTGCCCAGGCTACTGTGTAACACACTGATTTGTTTAGTTTAAAAGTTAACGTTTACATTATGCATACCCAGCAATGTTCCCTCTAAGCTGTGGAGTCTTGTTAGCAAAACTTCTACTTTGTGAGCTACTGGCACTAAAGTTGTGAGAGAGCAATCTGGCTGCTGCATAAATTAGTTTGCTCTGGAACCATCCTTCCTGAGCTAAGACAAAAATGTGTGAGCCAGAGACTCAAAAACTGTGAGTTAGCTCACACTAACTCAGCTTAGCGGGAAAACCGATACCCAGACATGAGGTATACACAATATCTTCTAACTTGGAAATCCTTGCCTAAATTGATGGGCTGAATTCAGAGCTAAGGCACTGTTCTATAAATTACATTCCTATCTTTGAATTTCCAGCAGTCAGTGAACAAGCACGGTTTTGTTGTTGTTGTTTAGTGAAATAAGAAATGCAGACCGCACAGGTGCAAAATTGACACATATTACAAAGAGAAAGTAATTTTCAGGTGCAAGAGAGCTCTTGAAATACAGCTGTGTGTTACGAGTTGGGTAAATTTATATATCAATCTAGCGTTGCCAGCGGGAGACCAGAGGGAGCAGGAAGGGGTAGACATTAAACCGATGGTCATTTTAAAAAAAAATCTGAGCAGCGGCAGCAGGAAATAGCAGCTGGGGGGGGCGGATCCCCCACCTCCCCTGGAGTGGGAGGATGGCAGCCATTTTTATAGTTTAGAGGCATCACTGGATATAGGGTACGTGTCCTATGTCTCCATTCTTCTGATGACAGAGTGCCAGGAGAAGCTTTATGATGGAAAAAGCACTGCACACCAACAGAAAGCTTCTCTGCCAGAGCTGTTTGATACCTCCCTGTGTCTTGGTTATTGATTTAAATATTTATTCTCAGCTTTTCTTCCCAATGGGGACCCAAAAGTGGTTTACCTCTTTCAGCCTTCCTCCATTGTATTCTCATATGAACAACCATGTAAAGTAGGTTAGGCTGAGAGAGAGTTACATGCCCCATAGGTCACCCAGCAAGCTTCCATGGCAGAAGGGGAATTGAAGCCTGAGTCTCTCAGATCCTACTCTGATACCTAACTACCACCAAATAAGGAAAAGAAGGGGAATGAAAGCTCAACCCATCTAAACAGATTTAGTAACCAAAAAGATTGAAAAGAAGAGATAATGAACCAGTGAAGGAGGATATAAATTTAATAAATCCATTATAAATACCATTAAAATAGATATGAAACACAGTATATTAACAAAACCTCCTTAACTAGTTAAGATAACAACATATTAAATCATTGTACAACTGACCACCAAATCTGTTTTGACAAGGTTGCCTTTTTCAGTGGAAAACTTATTTTCTAGGAGAACTATATGCACAGTCATATAAAATGACCACATAAGCATAGAGTCCCAGAAACGACTGACCCTTCCGGGCCCCAAGGATGCCAGGCTTGCCACCACTAGGGCCAGGGCTTTTTCAGTGGCGGCTCCATAACCAAAAAGATTGAAAAGAAGAGATAATGAACCAGTGAAGGAGGATATAAATTTAATAAATCCATTATAAATACCATTAAAATAGATATGAAACACAGTATATTAACAAAACCTCCTTAACTAGTTAAGATAACAACATATTAAATCATTGTACAACTGACCACCAAATCTGTTTTGACAAGGTTGCCTTTTTCAGTGGAAAACTTATTTTCTAGGAGAACTATATGCACAGTCATATAAAATGACCACATAAGCATAGAGTCCCAGAAACGACTGACCCTTCCGGGCCCCAAGGATGCCAGGCTTGCCACCACTAGGGCCAGGGCTTTTTCAGTGGAGGCTCCATACTGGTGGAATGAGCTCCCGGAGGAGATCAGGGCCCTGCAGGATCTACAGCAGTTCCACGGGACCTGCAAAACGGAGCTCTTCCACCAGGCTTTCAACTAGGAGCTGCCCCCACTATTACGAACAAACTGGCCTGCAGTTCTAAAATCTGGCCTCCACCACTGTGCTCAGGGAGACCATTGAGTTGCAAACTGTTTGGCTGAAGGTACTTCCAGCATGCCATCTTATGTACCCATTGTATCAGCAGCACTAGCACTTTGAGTCTATGTTCTTACTGTATGTGAACATATTAAATCATTGTACAACTGACCACCAAATCTGTTTTGACAAGGTTGCCTTTTTCAGTGGAAAACTTATTTTCTAGGAGAACTATATGCACAGTCATATAAAATGACCACATAAGCATAGAGTCCCAGAAACGACTGACCCTTCCGGGCCCCAAGGATGCCAGGCTTGCCACCACTAGGGCCAGGGCTTTTTCAGTGGAGGCTCCATACTGGTGGAATGAGCTCCCGGAGGAGATCAGGGCCCTGCAGGATCTACAGCAGTTCCACGGGACCTGCAAAACGGAGCTCTTCCACCAGGCTTTCAACTAGGAGCTGCCCCCACTATTACAAACAAACTGGCCTGCAGTTCTAAAATCTGGCCTCCACCACTGTGCTCAGGAAGACCACTGAGTGGCAAACTGTTTGGCTGTAAGGTATTTCCAGCATGCCATCTTATGTACCCATTGTATCAGCAGCACTAGCACTTTATGAGTCTATGTTCTTACTGTATGTGAAATTTTAAATTGATTTTATGTGAATTGAATGGTCATTTATAGACCAACTACGTAAGCCGCCCTGAGCCTGCTTGCGGGGAGGGCGGAGTAAAAATTGAATTAATAAAATAATGATAAAAATAAATACGTGCCCTGCTGCTCATGTAAAGCACTTCAGTGCAGCATTGTAGAATTTGTACCTAATTTCAGGGAATTTAGTATCAACCAGGTGGACTCATTCCAAAGACTTTGATTTATAAGAATCAGTTGCGCACATGGTCAGCTAGGGCTGCCAGCTTCCAGATGGTGCTTGGAGATCTCCCGGAATTATATCCCATGATGACAGAAATCAGTTCATTGGGGAAAATAGCTGCTTTGGAGAGCGAACTCTGCAGCACTATATCCTCCTGAAGTCCCTCCCCTCCCCAAATCCTGCTCTCCCCAGGTTTTAACCTGTAATCTCCAGGACCCTTTCAACTAGGAGTTGGCAACCCTAGGTCAGACTGAGGTTTTATTTTTCTTCTTAGCTATAAACATATATTTCCAGGTACAAGAGTCTCCATGCAAGATACTATCTGGGCAGTCTGTGAATCTGCTGATATTAAGAAAATAATATACTGGAGAAGGTAACCCACCTGGACTGCATTTCTGGTTGTGCTTTCAAGTGAAGAACAGGAGTTTGCTGAGCTTGTTGGCACTGCGTTTGGGGTGAATCCGGCACCTGATGGGGTGGCTGCAGTTGCTGCTCCTGCAATCCAACCTGGCACTGGGATAGAGGCCCTACTTGTTGGGGTGACGTGGGCGGTTGCTGGGATGGGTGGTGCTGTGATTGCTGCTTGGGGGACTGCTGTTGCTGCTGTTTGTATCGTGACAGACTGAAGAAAAGGCCTAAGATGGCCTTTAAATTCCCATTCCTGATTTCTGCAAAGCAAGTTTTAAAAAGGCATTTACATCAGCAACCAATTTATTTCAGCCTGCGAGTAGAAATACTTAACTCTAACACTATTTGTAATTCCCTTAATCTTTACATCCATTTAGGTTACAGCAAACTTAAAAAAAACCTTTAATAATAAGGAATACTTTGGAACTTGATAGGAAATTTGATATTAGAACTTTTAACAAGAAGGGGGACCCGTGATACTCTCTCCCCTGCCCCCCCATCCCCGGCACCCACGGCGAGGCCTGTACCCCTCCAAGCCTTCTCCCTCCTCCCCCCCAGCACCAGTGGCGAGAGGCTTGAACTTGGCCCACCAAGCTTTCTCCCTCCCCCCTTCCCTAGCGGCGGTGGCAGCGGCAAGGCTTGACTGGCCCACCGAACTTTCCCCCCTCCCCCCCAGCGGCGGCGAGGCCTGAGCTCAGCTCGCCAAACTTTCTTCCCCCCCCCCCGGTGGCAGCGAGGGCTCAGCAGCTTAGAGCCGCCAGCCAGCCAAGCCTTCTCCCGCCCCATCCCTCTCCCTGGCGGCGGCAGCGAAGCCATTCTCAGATCGTTCCCTGTGCCTGCACAGGGAATGATGCTCTTTTACTTTTGGGGGAATTTAAATATCCCCCGCATATTTTTTCCAACTTTCCGGTTTTTCTGCACATCTGGGGATTGCCCCAAATGTGCAGGAAAATCTCCCTGCCCCCCAGGTACCCCCGATGTGTGGATTTAGATATCCGCACGGAGAGGGCAACTTGGGAATTAGATATATAGATATACAGGATGGCGATACTTCAGGTAATTTCAACAAAATATACAGCTATTGTCTCCTAAATGGGAACTGAACATTCACACATTACCTGAAGGGAAAGGCTTTGTGAGATGGGTATTAGCCAACTGAACTGGGAGCTACTGCTGGGAGGCAGGGTTGCCAGCCATCAGGTGGGGGCTGGAGATCCCCCAGAATTACAACTGATCTCCACACAACATAGATCATTTCCCCTGGAGAAAATGACTGCTTTGGAGGGTTATGGCATTATACCCTGCCAAGGTCCCACCCTCCCCAAACCCCTCCTCTCTCTAGGAATTTCCCAACCCAAAGTTGGCAACCCTATGTGTTTTCTTCTCTGCAAAGTACACTACACTAAGCAGCTTCATTACAGGATCACAACAAATGCTTCTCCATTCCACAGAAGGACAATGAAAAACAAGAATGAGAAGGAAATGCATGGAAGCAGCCCAACAACTGTGCAATTTCTTCTTACCCATATCTCCTCCCTCTTGGATACAATAACCTCTCAGGGGCCCAA